AAACGTTAGGAAGAACAACCTTCAGAACATGGCCAAAGAGCCTGAAAAACCCACAACAACCATTAGTCCCTATTCTCCGATCTTAGAGACACTTCATTCATCCCAGAATACCAGCTATTTACTATCTGTGGGAAGTAGTTTGGGTCACTTCTCACAAAGTTCACACAATAGGGACCCATAAGTAATTATGACTTCTCAGAAGCATACACACAATGAAATAAATCTGCATAACCCAGTGCATACAATATGAAAAGTAGAATGTATCTACTTTAATTTATTTGCATTGGGGTTGAAGTATATGGCTGACTTCACAGACAGCCCTCTACATGAAGGGCAGAGTCTGTTTGGAGGGTTGCCCAGTCCACATCTAGTTTAAAGAATAGGAAGAAGAAAGGGCAGAGACCCAAAAGTGCCCTTCAGCAGTCCACACCTGAAGAAGCAGAGAAGCACACATCACACCTGGTCACACTCTTTTGTACTATGTTGAGACGCGCTGCATTTCTGTTTAAGTTGCAGCAGTATTAAATTACAGCAGTACTGTATTTAAAATGTTCATCTCTCCATCTATCTCTCCATCTATCTATGCACATCTTTCTCTTCTATTTTGATGATACATTTTGTTCATTTGGCAATGTAAGTAATTTGTACTAAGTATGAAGTGATCACCCCAGAAATGTTTAACTGCTGTCAAGACCCACCAATTTCAGTAGAATTAAATTTGCAATCCAGTGGACGTTTATTTGGGAGCAAGCCCTAATGAGGACTGGGAAATATTTCTATCCTGCCCTTCTCCTTAAAAGGGAACCGAGGCAACTTTTGAGTAAACATGCATACTCATGCACTCTTCGACGTGATTAATGTGAGGGATTTTGGATTCTGTCCACAATGACGGTTTGCAGCTTTCCAGATAAACACTGCATTTCCTAACCATCTTCTCTAAAAAGGATACATACGTGTTGTTATATCCTGGGTGATCCAGATCATGACACACTGATGCAGTCATTAGCACTAAAATATCCATTTGGGAAAGCTTTACCTAAACAGGAAATTAAACAAAAAACAGCCATATAATTTTATTATAACTCTTGTAATACAGATGTTTAATGGCTACATTTATTGCAGGCAAGACTGAAGATTCCTTTTCAGTAGCAAATTATTCAGCTCTGTCTCTGATGTATAATTAACAACAGCGATGGAAAAGGGAGGTTTGGTATCCTAAGACACTAGATAGGCCTTATTTAAAGGCAAAGACTTCTCAGCTTGTAAGACATTAAGTTAGGTTTTGTATTAAGGAAGAAAACTAATTCATTTGACCAGCATTTCATGACCTGGTTAATCCATGGCATGCTGCTGCCTAAGCCATATCCATTCTCTAGGCAGAAACCAACTCCACTTGGCAATTCAGCCCATTCCAGCACTGACAATGTAGCAGCATCGTCCACAATAACATAAAGTAGCAGATGGTAGAAGGCAGGCAATGAAATTAAAAAGTTGAAGGGAGTAGTTGGAAGGGGACACACATTGCTGTTCTCCAACTCCTGGACTTCCTACTGACTGCCATAAGCCTCAAAACAGCTCCCTCACTTTGTCTAATGGTAGAACCGGCTATGTTTCATTTTCTTTCGGGACCCAAAAGGCAAATGGGAAGAAGTGCAACTTGGGGTTTAATAGGGCTGTCTGTTGTTTTCTTAAGCAACAATCCTGGCCTGACCAAGGAATTCCAGCCCAGTGGTCCATTTGGCCAAAGGGTGCATTTCCTGGTCAAAATATGAGCTCCACCTACCAGAGCAAACAACCCTGCTATTTCTTGCATAAGCAAGGCCAGTTTCTTCGGATGATGTGCAATGGAGAATTATGGAGGAAGACCATTCTGAGCAAGCTGTTCAGGACTGGATTGTCATTGGCCTGGCATCAGTCTGGCTGTACAAGGAAGGAGGATGCAGAGGACAAATGCCCTGCCTTTCCCCCATCAGCTTTGGCAATAGCCGAAGTGCCTCCTTTCCCTTCTGCCCTTACGCTACATCTAACTGCACAATATGATAGAATGTGCAAGAGGAACGTTGTGGCACGTTGTGTCCCCATTACAACTGGCTGGAAGAAAAAGCCAGCACATTTTCATCCACATGCTCTCCTCTGTGGGACAAACTAGAAATATATATAAAATACATCCCTGCTTTTGTGTACCTTTTGTTTTTGTTTTCAATAGATCTGCAAAGAGGCCCTTGATTCACATGGACACGGCAGCTGTTGCTGATCCTGGTACCAGCGGTTGGGAGAATTAAGCTTTTCCTCCTTGCTGATGATGGGTTTTCTCTTGAAAGGGCCACTGCAATGGGCACACTGGCCATTTGGGGCTGGGATGTATTTTCATTGGGAAAAATGACACCAGGAAGGTTAATTCCACCTCTTCCATGCCATACTTCCAATCCAGACGGGGGCCCCCTCAGAGTTACTTTTTAAAACCCATTTAAAGCTGCACACTTCATATATGGAATGATGCGATTATGTATGAAATGAATCATCACTTTTGGCCCTCTGTTTCAAACCTGACAAGAGTACCATTAAAGGTGTCAAAGCATCCAGACAAAATCATGCCTGCTACTTCTCATGGCTTATTTCTAGATGACATGATCGGTAGCTCCTGAACCTGCCAAGGTTGTTGCTCAACTTTTAGTTCTCTTTGATTCCCTCTCAAATGTAAGCAAACTGACTTCTGGAGTAGTTTTTCTTGCCGTAACTTCATTAATGAAGGAAGACATGCTCCACATTATGTCTTTCGGTACTAAATTTATTTACCCCTGTGCTGGAAAGAATGTTACTGCGGACCAGATGCCATGGATTTCATGATGCTTATGAATGTAGGCCCCCTCCTTCTCCATATGCAATGAGCTATTAAAGTAGCCAAGGAAAGACACACCTGAAGACTGCAGAGTGAGATCATGCTGTACATCATCTGGGTAACACAGAAGCAATGTCGAAAATTATGGAATGGATTGTTTCTGTAATTGTCGTGAATGCACAGCTATAAAAACAAAGAAGGAGAAATTGATAAGGAAACCAAGGATTTGGCACTAAATCCTAATAGCCATGAGTTTGAGGTCCTACAGCCTGAACCACAGAGAAAAGATGGATGACAAACTTTTTCTCACATAGGTGTTTGCCTATTATTTATGCTTCCTTTTATTTATGCTGCCAGCTGTGACCATTTCCTATTTGCAGCGCTTATTGGCAGTGTGACCAGCAGCATTGGGCTGAGAGCAGCTTTACAAGTTTTGAGAGGACACAAAACCTGGTTGGTGCAATTGTGAGAAGGGCAAAGGCTAATGTCCTGCTTTGTGAGTGCCACCTTTGCATAGCACCAGAAAGTGCAAAAAGTCAGCCATAAAGCCATTTTTCAGGCTGTTTCTAAATACATGAAGCCATCCAGAAAGCAACCAACCAGCAATGAGGGATGCTGAGGCGACAACAGATAAGAGAGCTTGGAGGTTTGCCCTGAAGATATCCTAAAACCAGTATTGTTTTCTGCATATGTCAAAGATGGCCATTTGCCCTTTTGCCTGCTTAAAAAAATTGTTTATAGGGCACATACAGCCTCTTGGTGCAGTGGTTAAACTGCAGTACCTCACTCAAGACTTCTCATGATCTGAGTTTGTTCCTGGATTCAGGTAGCTGGCTCAAGGCTGACTCAAGTTCCCATCCTTTCGGGGTCGGTAAATTGAGTACTCAGCTCACTGGAGGGAGAGGGGCAATATGTAGCCTGGATAATTAAATTGTAAACCACCTTTTTCAGCACTAGCAAATGCTGGTATACATGCAGCACACTTTTAAATTTGTAATTCTAAAGAACTTAATATGACAGTCTACGTATAGCTCTGGAAGGTTACTTTTTGAAATTCTTGATATTTCCTGCTAATGGGGGACTCTAGAAGCTGAAGTTCAAAGAGGAACTACTTGGGGCTCTGAGTATGAGTTAACGTTCAAGACCAAATCTCTATCTAGCTATAGGACAGAACAACTGGAGATTCGCAGTTTATATATATAACTAATATATATATAATTAACTGTGATCAAATGCAAAGCTAATCTTCCCTTTCTACCTGGTGGTCACCGAATTTGGCTGGTGTGGAAACAAAACTCTTCTTTCCACCTTTCTTAGGGCCCAGCTCTACTTTAAAGATAACCAGACATAAAAGCTGAAGCCATTTTAGTGTTCAAAAATGGGATTGGGGAAGTCCTTATGCAATCTTTTGTATCTGAGAAATCAACAAAGGAACATGCTTATGGCCTGAAGACCATTTACAAAAACAAACTAATTTGCAAATATTATGAGATAAGAAAAGCTTATCTCATAGCTTCAGTAGTTTAGGTATCGAGCTGCTGAGCATTGGGAATTTGATTCCCCTCTGTGCCTTTTGCAAGTAGAGCCAGCCTGTGTGACGTTTGGCAAGCTGCATAGTCCCAGGATGCCCCCAGAAGAAGGGAATAGTAAACCAATTCTGAGTATTCCCTACCTAGAAAATCCTATAAAGGGTCATTATAAGTCAGAATTAACTTGATGGCACATCATTATTATTATGAATAGGAAAAACTCATGCTGCGAAAACATCTCACAAAAACGAACATGAGGAATTCCGTCTTTCAAAGACAGGATTTCAGGAGAAAGAGGTTTCAGAAGAAAGAAAGATACAAACGTTTATTGTGTAAATTTTAAACAGTTCAGTACTGAATACTGCTGAGGCATGATTTTCAGCTCATTTGGATGATGCTGTGGAAGATGGAAACACCTCAAAGTAAAAATGATGTAAATTGATAAGGCATGAGATGGCTTGTAAGGCAACTCAAGTAAAAGAGCCTTGATTTTTTGAAACGTAGCTTATTTAGATTTTTGATTTAAAGATGAAACCAAAATGATATTAATACTAGATGAAGCCAGCATAGTAGTTTTTATATTGGAAGAAAGGTGTATGTCTTATGCTTTGCATTATACAGTGGTGCCTTGCAAGACAAATGTATTTCGTTCTGCGAGAAGCACTGTCTTGAGAAAAAATCGGCTTGCGAAAAGCGGTTTCCCATAGGAATGCACTGCAATGCATTCCTATGGGAACCTCGCAAGATGAATGAAAATTTTTTGTCTTGCAAGGCATTGGTCTCGGAAAAAAACCCCCCAACCCATCTTGCGAAGCACGGCCATAGAAGAAACCAATCGTCTTGCGGGTTTTTCGTCCCACAAGGCATTCATCTTGTGAGGCACCACTATAATTATTTTAGGGAATAGTTTATATTCAGTTTATATTCAACATTTCATCAGTCTTAACATTTAGTGTATGACTATAAGCACACATATGTTGAAGATATACACATTTATTTTTTAAAAAAAAACATAAACTTTCATATAAAATGCATTGTTACATCTTACCAGCCATCTTTTCAGTGTGATAGGGTTGATGTTGAAGTCTTTCACTAATCCTAAATCATGATACATGTGTTCTAAGCAACTCAGCATCTACAATATGAAAAAATCAGATTATTTTTATATTATTCGCACTACTTACAAATTCAAAATACATTGTACGGTCTAATATTAGATTAGACAGGGTGGCTGTTCCCAGGTTGATGTGGGTCAATTTGAAGTTTCCCATGGCAGTTAAATTGCTTTTGTCATTCATGATTTTGTCCTTTGGTTTTTAACAGAGATGAAGCATCTGTCCAGACTTCTACCACAAACTCTGCTCACACCAAGTAAAGCTCTCATTTAAAAACAAAATAAAGAAATCACTGCACTGCCTGTGCTAAGAATCCCAAATTCTGTCCAACCTGTGAACTATGTTCTAAGTAAGGCAGAAGGACAGCACTGCAAGCCAGCACATGCCAAACCATGCCTTTTCTGTCCTACAGAGAGTTCAAGGTGGCACAGTATGGTTCTCCTTCCCATTTCTATCTTTACAACAAAGGACGGACAGCCCTTCTTAACAGATGAAACACAGTGGAAGAATAACATAATACCTATAGGCCACATATTTCTCCTGCCCAATGCTAGATGCTGAAGATTTTAGCTGCTGAAAGTATAGCTATGACTCATGATGGGTAATGCTATTAATTATGCTATTAAACTTGGCTCCCAGCTCTGAAAAATACAGTGTGCAAAAAGTCAACTAACCGTCCCCAGCCACAAGGACCAGGGATCACTACACACAAAAGACCAGCTAATGACACCCATCAATCACAGTGACGGATAATCTCTCCTCAAGACACACTAATCACCCATCTCCTGAAAAGGACAAAAGCCTATCTCACAGCCATAAATACTCAACTCCCAAGCATACTACACCAGAGCACAGAGTGCTGTCCTCTGAAGATGCCGGCTACAGAAACTGGCAAAGCATCAGGAAGAACAACCTTCAGAACATGGCCAAAGAGCCCAAAAACCCACAACAACCATTATTAATTATTACTTTGCCATTTCGAATGCTATATTATGGGAGTTGTAGGGAGAAGGAGCAAAACACTTGAAAAAATGCTTTTACATGATTGTTATTAATTATTACTTTGCCATTTTGAATGCTATATTATGGGAGTTGGAGGGAGAAGGAGCAAAACATGCTAATTCTTGAAACACTTGAAAAAATGCTTTTACATGATTACTTTGCACTGAAATGATGAAACAAGGCTGTGATTCACACTCCCAATCAAAACCTACAACACAAACTGAGCAAGTAGTACATAACTGAAACACTGCTATAAACCTCAGGCACTGCCGTGTGACACAGTATTCATGCTAGTTTATGTAACTAATTATGAAAGTTACAACAACTTGGCCCTCATTCATTTTTCTTGGTACTATTTCACTGGTTGCTTTCTCCGTACCAAGGTGTTCTTCCTGTTCACCTAACAACCTCTAAAAGTAATCAAAGGATGTAATCATTTGTTCAAATGCGAGGCAATGCTGTTTGCCCAGCATGAGGTCTCAGGTTTCAGCCAGCCCCTTTCCCTGTAGCCTCTGCTTTTGATTTCTCTATAGCAGGATGGCTTTTTCTTTCTTTGACAAAGACCTTGAATTCATCTGTGCATTTTCAAAACAGCTCCTGTGACGTCCATATCAAGGTTCCTGACAGAACAACATCATCAACAGGATGGGAGGTCAGGAATTTGTTTCCACATAGTATCATTACCTCATTTGGCTCCCACAGCCAGACATCAAAGGTTGGCTTCCTAAGAGCTTCTATTGTCTCCTGAGAAAGCATATACTGCAGAGAAAACAAGCCATTGTTATGGATTACTGTCATTAGCAAGCTCAGCTTTCGAGTTAGACCTTCTCTTTCAATGACTCAGGTTCTCCTCTATCTAGGACTTTATTGGTGTCAGAACTAAGAGTGTAGCTATGCTTCTTACTTGCAAATGTCTGTTACTAACCCCAGATGAAGAGGAGGAGGAGATTATGCAAGAGACAGATGAGCTGATGGGTTTAAGATTTAAGACTGGGAGTAAAATAGTAACGATAAAGAGTAATGTGTAACCATATGTGTCAATGTGCTGGGAGGTGGTAAGTGTGAATAGTTCATGACATAAAACATTGCACTGAATAAAATTATATCATTCTTCATACTCATGCCTACCATAAGTTCCCTGGTAATTCTAAAGGTGTGTTTACATGATAAAAAGAGCAAAGCTGTTTGAAACTGGTTTATGGAATTCTGTGGTCTGTAGTTTCTGTGTAGCATTTACAGAAACTCCATACAAAAACTCCCATTTTCAGATTTTTTTAAAGTAAAGGCCATGACAATTAAATTGACAATAGGTTTTAAAGGGTTTAGTGTAGTACATATGTATCTTTGCTCAAGGAAAACTCTCCTCAGAGACAAATTAAGTATACTTAAGTGTGCATTGATGATAACTGCATCACAGGGCTTAAAAGAAACCACCAACTGTTTAATATAAGGCAAAGACCTCCATACTCTTTTACACTTGTGTTCACACCAGTAACCTCTCTCATCGATTGACCATGAGAGATTATCTATACTATGGTATGTATCTTCTAGAATAGAAAGTGCATAAAGTAACATAAATAAAACCAAATAACCTAAAGATCCTATGTACAATGCCTGAAAGTCAACAATTCACTCCACTGTTAGGAAGTTTTGCTTAAATTCAGAAATCATCTCTAATTTTGTATTTGTGCATATGAATTAGCATATGCAATGTTATGCTTATCACCATCACATTTTGTCCTCTATTTTGATAACGTGTAAATACCCAACCTCTGAAGGTGTGCATGATATGGAAAAATTGCTTAAGCTTATATGATGAAGCCGAATGGTGGAAGATCCAAAAAACGTGAAAGGAAATACTTCATAGTGAACAGTTATGATGCAGTGATGGCACCAAAATGGAGAGCTAGAATGCCTCTGTAAACCAGTTGCTTGAACACCCAAGAATAAGGTCCATTCCTTTCATGTCTTCCAGTGGGTTTCCCATACACTTCTTGTTGGCCATTGTGGAAACAGAATGCTGGACTGGTGAGACTCTGGTAACATCCAGCATGTCTTGTCACAATGATAACAAAGTAGGGAGAAGGTATAATAAACACTATGTTGATCTATTCTATTAAATCAGTGATAACCTGGGTAGCTCAGGTGTTTTTGTACTGCAACGCCAAAAAAGCCTTGGCCAGCAAAGCTAGTAGTGAAGATTTCTGGGAATTGCCCAAGGTTGGGAACCACTGTTATTAAATTATGTTTTAAACTTGTATGCATCTCACTGTACCTTGGGATAGGATGGCACATCTCTTCGAGGCATCAGCTTCTTGTTCTCATCCAGAAAGCTGTATTTACAGGGACAGTTGCTCCTGCATGAAAAGTAAAATTCAGTCCTCAGCCTCCATATAAAACATTATAGCCAGAATCCTATTCACCTATGTGAATGTGTGCAGCAATCACACAAGCTTGCCACCCTCCAGGCAGGCTCTTCTCCATGTGACTGCTTGTGCAAAAGAAAGCTTACCACAGGAGAAAAACTACAGTGTGATTGCCCATTATACACAAGGTTTTTCTCAAATGAATTCTGGCCCATGCTTTTGCAAATAAAGATGCACTTGACAGCAATTGCTGAAACCAGCCAGGTACTTTTAGACATGACAATACTTTTCATTGTTATAAAGATATGATGCTGAAAATGCCCACCCCGACAACACATGTGGAATGCTGAAGTTTTGGATTCTGACAGAAAACTGCTTTTATCTGTCCAGTCTAATGAATTATGTTGACCACCAGTATTCAGCTGTTGACCACCAGCCAGGAAGTTACAATGAGAATTAGGTAAATGGCATTCAATTTGCTTCCACTTAAGCTTAAATTACTAAAAGTATCTGTTTTCTCCGGAAGGAATGGGTGGCCTACAAGAGTTTACTGACTTTGTTGAAGGAATTTGGGAAAGAGGGAACCCAAAACAGCTGATAATCTAGCAAAGATCTAGCTAGTGCCTTGGATGTCTTTCAGTCTACCTCTTCGTAGATGTTTGTTCAGTGGCTAAAGGATTAAACAAGTCAACACTGGCTTATACCATTGCAGCAAACTGCCCATCCATGTTGCCTGGGAAACCCAGAGATACCTATAATGTTACTAAGTTGATTCTGTGAAGGGTTTTCTTTAAGACAAAGGTGTTATACATACATTCAGATGCACACTGATTTCGTTTCCTTTTCATGTTAGAGACTAAATGGGTGACTCATAGCAATCAAAAATGTTCATTGTGAAAGTCTGAGGCTCAGGAGCTGAAGCAAAAGCCATCTGTTTATGGCAGAGATGGCAGTTGCTAGAACATTACACAAGTGTTAGAAGATAAATGATCTTTCCTTGAACCAAGAGGCAAGAAGATAGTTGATGTTTTACATTGATTTTTGTGGAATAGAAGGAAAAAATGGACTGTGTACAAGTGTAAAGCTGGTGAAGACAACTGTGTTGAGAAAAATAGGTTTCAGCAGTTTCCCAGGAAACGAATCAAAAGCAATATTTCAATCACACAACAAATATAGCACAACTATTGTCATGTAAAATATTATTCATGTGCATTTTAAAGGGATGTGGTGGTGCTGTGGGATAAACCGGAAAATAGGTTTCAGCAGTTTCCCAGGGAACGAATCAAAAGCAATATTTCAATCAAAAAACAAATATAGCACAACTATTGTCATGTAGAATATTGTTCATGTGCATTTAAAACTACAGGTTTAGTGCATACAAAGGCATTTTCAGGTGCCTACAATTTGAGCAAACCTTATGTGTTAGATGTCACTGGTTTTCAGCATTTGGTCTTCCTGTGATTTTGGACCTTGGCATCCAGAACCACACCCCAACTAGTCATGCTAGCTGGAGCTTCTGCAAGTTAAGTCCTCAAAATCTGGAGGACCAAAGGCACTTCTATACATCATCAAAAAAGGACCTCTGGGAAGTTTCCAACTGGATACCACAAAGCCCAGTTCTTGGAAACGGGGATGAGCACCAGCCCCTAGAGTCGAACACGACTGGACAAAAATTGTCAAGGGGAACATTTACCTTTACCTTAGTGCATACAAAGGCATTTTAATGTGCCTACAATTTGAGGAAACCTTATGTGTTAGATGTCACTGGTTTTCAGCATTTGGTCTTCCTGTGATTTTGGACCTTGGCATCCAGAACCACACCCCAACTAGTCATGCTAGCTGGAGCTTCTGCAAGTTAAGTCCTCAAAATCTGGAGGACCAAAGGCTGTAGAGACACTTCTATACATCATCAGACAAGGACCTCTGGGAAGTTTCCAACTGGATACCACAAAGCCCAGTTTAACTGGTGGACAGTGAAAGTAGAAATAACTTTGGTCGCTGCAACAGCATTTGAATGAATTTCAGAGGCTCAGGTGTCCTTGATAGTAAGTATAGGCAGAAAAATCCCACAGAGTCCTATTATACCTCGAATGCTAAAAATAACTTATGCTTTAATACATTTGTTAGTTTTTAAGGTACCACAGGATTCTTTTGTTGGGAGTTTAAAGGAGATGGAGAATCTGTCCACTAAAAATATAGATATTTATATGTCTTTTAAACTGAAACAATGAAAATGCTCTAGCATGGATCTTTGTGTGTAGAGGCTTATTCATCCTTTAAGGAGTAATAATAGATTTTCAAGATGGTGAACATTAAACCAGCAGGATCTGAACCAAAATAAAACTCCAATGAACATCTTGGCAGGTTATAATTAGGGCTGAAGGAACATATGCTCCAGCTTCTATATCTTTGGAAGGAAAGGATTTTTCTAGCTTCTTACCAGCTACATTGAATATGAGTGCCACTGGGACCAAATGCCAAGCATCTGCCTTTTGAGTTAGTGTTCAATGCAAAGGGGAAAACCTCTCCTTATTTGTTCCTTCTGTACAACCTGTTTCCTCCTCTCCTATGATTATTCCTTATGCTCAGTCTGGATCCCATTTACTTTTGCAATCTCTATCTTTTCCTTCAAATATGTGTTGAACGTATAAGTGCATAATAGCATTCTTTTTTGGTTCGGTCTTCAGATCTTGGATGGTGGGGTGGCCCTTGAGTAAGATGCTCCTAGTGGTCTCCTCCCTGATGATCATGTCCCTTATCCTCTTTCTTTGAAGCCAACCAATATATGGCCCCAAAAGAAGGTGAAGCAACTCAGATTGAGGTTGGTGCTTCTTTTTCTCATCTCATCATTTCCAAAGTCAAAGAAAGCAGGTAGTTAGGGGTTGGCAAAAAGCTCCTTACTGGGGTCATGGCCTCAGTAAATGCACAGTGTTTGAGGTGGTCAGAAGATAGATTGGAACTAAGAGGTTGGTCTCTACATGGTTTGAACTGTTAGGCTGTTTGAAAGCTGGTGTTTGGAATAATCAACAAAGGTCCATTTTATTGAAAAGGACATTTATTAGAGAACTACTTGGGAATTATTTGAGATATAAGAAAGATGATGACATTTGATCATGGGGCTCCAAAAGAGAGAGAAGAGATGTATGCAAAAATGTGAAGTCAAGTCTCAGACTATCAGTTTATAGGCATGTGAAGAACAGTGATGAAATGCATTGTTCTCATCTCATCCTTGCTTGAGAAGACATGTTAATAATAAATTTTCAAGTCCAATTGATTCCTCATTGGCTAGCGCAGTGGTTCTTAACCTTGGGTTACTCAGGAGTTTTGGACTGCAACTCCCAGAAGCCTTCACCACCTGCTGTGCTGGCTGGGGTTTCTGGGAGTTGCAGTTCAAAAGCATCTGAGTAACAAAGCTTGATTCCTCACTGGCTAGCATAAGCGAAACAATTTCTCTCTCTCATTGATCTCTATAATCTGGGCATGCTGTGTCTGCACAAAGCAGGCAGGCAGAATGCAATTGATGGGTATAAATAACAGTTGTGAACTGCTGCAAGTTAAGACAGTGTAGACATTTACTGCTGTATGCCAAGTTATGTGGCTTTTACGCAACAGCAAATGCCTACTCTGATGTCATATCTTGAAGCATTTCACAGATTGGATTAACAAAACTCTGGACAATGTCTTGACTTTTGGCACACAAACACACCATAACGGCAACACAGCTGACTGCAAACAACTCTTCTGAGCTATCTAATCCTTAGAAGATCATGCAACAAAGCAGCAAATGCTGGCATTTGGCAAAAGCTTTATCTTCCATAAAATACATTTTTGCACAAATCTGCTTAATTTGTTCAAAAATTAATAATTCTCATTCTATTCTCAGGAGTACAAAGATGACTCTGAGGAGCAGAAACTGAGAAGAATAATTTTTCTGGTTTTTGTCTTTAAATGTGAAGGTTGACTCAGAGGAGGATTTTACAGCACCAGTCTATAGAGGAGGAAGCAACAAAGGAGACAAGAGAAAGAAACACACAAGCAAGCCCTAACTACCCACCTCTTGCCTCTGTTGCACCCTGGAATCACACAGTAAGTTGTACAAATATGATCACACATTTTTCCCCACATGAAGCAGATCAGCTAGAATATATTACTTCCTATTGTTTAACATCACTAAACACCTCCTCTATCCTGATGAAACAGCATTGTAGAAGGAAGGAGTGAAAGTGGATTTCTGTGTGAAATATCTGGAAGCTCTATTAATTTCTACTATTTGGAACAAATTCTTGGGCTTAGACATTTTTGATACAACTAAACAGGTGATTACATGGGCATTTGACCTGCCATTTGGTCTGTTGTGGGAACAGGTTGGGACCCTCCTTTTGCCAATAATCAGAAAACATAACTGCTAGAGTGAATCAGCCCAACACTTGAGCATTACTATCCACACCTTTCTGGGTCCCTGTCAGGGGCTCCACTTTTTTTTCTAAGTGCAAGTAGGATCACTCCATTTTGGTTTGTTTCCAGTATGTGTGATCACTAGGATCAAACCAAAGCAGAGCTTCCTGCTTTAATTTCACAGGCTGTTTCAATTTCCCAATATCATTAGTGACTTAATCAGACAGCTTAGCCATTTAATTGTGAAATTGAGAAATTAAAACTTCCTCTGCTTCTGTATAAAAGAACAAAGGAGGAAGCAAATTGTTTTTTAAAGCCAATTGGGGCAGAACTGATGCATTGTACCTTTTAGGAAAAAATTAAGTTTCCTCCTGGAAGCAGGCAGAGACAGAAGGGAGGAGTTTCTTTTCGCTTCTCTTCTTTTCCTTTCTTAAGAGGAAAGCCAAATAGGGTTGCCTGAGCTGTGTTTGCCATGTGGGTGCAATGATCACACCACATGGCAAACAGGACCTCTATCCATTCTTACGTGCCCCTGTTTAGCCTGCACCATCCTGCTTCAAATGAGCCATCTTGTTAAGCCCTAAGTCTGGTTGACAGATTTGAGAGTTCTAGTAAAAAAGGCAAAACACAGTATATCTCATGAATTTGAGGTCTGCCTTATTCTGACATAATTTTGTTCTTACCACATCTCATTTCGTGCCCCCTCTTCTTCTGGTACTAATGTTAATAGTTAGTAATTGCAATATAAGTTTTCAATAAATGTTACATTTTCATGCATGAACCTGAGCCTCTGAAAATCCTGAGGAACTGAAGAAAGAGGTGTAGAGGGCACAAATAAATTTACACACAGAATCATGGAGTATCCATTTTCAGAATTATTAAGTAATCAGATCACCCTTATCCTGCCTACCAAAACAAAAAACCAAACCAAACAACAACAACAACAACAAAAAACGAAGTCCAGAATGTGTCTGCTGCACATGTGAGGGCAGATGTTTGGTTGTCCTGGAAAACATGAAGCCCTAGACCATTCCTGACAAGTCATTTTGGTATGGAAGTTGAGCTCTCCAGAACCACAGGGCAGAGGTAGACTAATAGAATCTTGGGCACCCACCTTCAATTGCACACAGTCAGTCCCAGAAGATTGTGACACAGGGCATCTGATGCTGAGCATGGAACCAGGATTTTGTTGTTGTTTAGTCATTAAGTTGTGTCTGATTCTTCGTGACCCCATAGACTAGAGCACGCCAGGCCATCCTGTCCTCCACTGCCTCCCAGAGGGGGATCAAATTCATGTTGGTAGCTTCAGTGACATTGTCCAACCATCTTGTCCTCTGTCATCCCCTTCTCCTCTTGCCGTCACACTTTCCCAACATCAAAGCCTTTTCCAAGGAGTCTTCTCTTCTCATGAGATGGCCAAAGTACTGGAGCCTCAGCTTCAGGATCTGTCCTTCCAGTGAGCACTCAGGGTTGATTTCCTTTAGAATTGATAGGTTTGTTCTCCTTGCAGTCCAGAGGACTCTCAAGAGTCTCCTCCAGCACCACAATTCAAAAGCATCAATTCTTCAGCAGTCAGCCTTCTTTATGGTCCAGCTCTCACTTCCATACATCGCTAGGAACCAGGACAGGCCACTGTAATCTCACCTCCTTACCCCTGAGATCTTCGTTGCTGTTGTGGAAATTGCTCCTCCACCTGCGTCCATCTGGGCCTCTCTAATATAGGACAGCACATTCATCCAGGATCAAGTCCTAGATAGTTGTTGTTTTCCCACTGACTGACCACTCATTTTCATCTTATGGGACCTGATGCCAAAGTTATCCAGGATAGGCTACCTAATCAAGAAGTTAACAGCTGCTTGCAGGCTCTGCTAACAATTTGAACATATTTCCAAATATGGGAAGGGAAAGGAAGGTGGAGGAAAATGGGGATGGGGTAGAAAATAGGCTCCTCAGTCCACTGGAGGAAAAGGACAAGAGAAGTGGCTTGAAATCCGAAACAGAAATCAAAGGTGGGGAAAACTGCTGTAACACAGGCTCTACAGCCACTCCAGCTGAAAGGAAAGATCTGTTCTTAGTCTAGACTAGGACACCTTTGGCTTAGTACGAAATGGAAATAATAGTCAGATTGAGGGAGTGCTCTAAGTGTTTGAGGGAAACAAGAATATAGTTGAAGAAGTCTTGTCAGGAGAACATGTTGGAGAGGAGAGCTTGGAAGCAATACTGCCTTGGAGCCCAACTCCTAAAACCCCACAGCAAACACAGCCTTCCATGATGCTGGCTAAGAGATTGCTGGAGTTATAGTAATATCTCTCCCCCCCCAAAAAAAACCCCCACTCTTCTTAAGCTTTTTAGGGGGAGATTATTGTGAACTGCCCATCTGACCGAGGTGTTACATTGTTGTTGTTTTAATGTGCTGTTAAATCAGAACTAATTTATACGAGTAATAATTGTGATAGGGTTTTCAAGGTAAGTGAAGTATTTAAGGAGTGTTTTTTTTAAACCAGTTCCATTTCCCCAGTGAGCTCCCATGACAGAGTTGGGGAACTGACCCCATGTCTCCTGAGTCCTATACCATTACTCTATCCACTTCACCACATTGGGTACCTTGGTGTCACAATATTAAGCTAAAATGCAAGTGTCCGAAAACTTTAATTGCAGCCCTGTAATTCCAAGTATGCCACAAGGAAGTCATGGCAATTTAATCCAGTTCAGGCTGGGGTTGTAGACCAACTTTTGCCCAGACCAAGCTCCCAAATTATCTTCCTCCTCTTTTTCAGTAACACGCCTGAGCTGCTGATGTCCTAATGAGGAATCTCAGCTACAGGGAAAGTATGACGTTCCAGCTGATGCAGTTTACCATAACAAGCAATGATTCCTTTGACTGTTGTTTTAATTAACAGCTCCAAACTTGGTAAGATATCAGATTAGCAGACTGGCTTCTTCCGCTAAAAAGGAAATACCTCATTTTTTGTTAGAATATCTCATGGACATTCTCTGTTAATATAAGGGCATAACAGGAGGAGTTGCTATGTGTATACTGAGATATTTTCTCAGATTACGTTTCATATCTGAGCAGGTCCATTTAAAATGAGAGAGTCTTTTACCAAACAAATGTTTTTCTTGGCAGAAGATATTTTTTTGTTCTGTGCATAAAATAGGGCCAGAATTCTTTATTACCGGATGGGTAAACACAGCGAAATCAAGATGTTAATCTCTCTGGGAGTTATTTTTTCAGTCATCTGGAATAAGTTGTTTTAACTATTAAAGTGCCACATACAGGATTCCCAAATACTAAACTAGTGTATCTTGTCTTGAGACTAACATTAGCAAATTGTCTGGCTTTATAGTTTGCTAGCATTACACCAAAACCCGTCATGAACTACAAATGCTTTCTCAAAAGATAAGAAAACCAAAACAAAGCAAAACAAAAACCTTAAGTTTCGAGGGAAATATTATGGCTCAATTTGTACCTCAAAAGTAAGGAAACTCATACCACAGATAAGCACCCATTTTCAATAAAAACACAGGCATATTAATACACCCTTCACATCTACCCCAAATAACTAAAAGAGGTAAAGTGCACTCTTTGATTTCCCTAATACAGTATAGGACTGCCATTGTGGGGTCACAATTTACTATCTGGTATCCTCAACTTCAAGTTAATCATGCAAGGCCATATCCCTTTGAGGCATTATCCTCCCCACAGCTCTGTAGAGATTTTACAGAACTTAGATCCCAACAGATGCCTTCCACATATCTTGAAGGGTGGCACTGAGGAACCCCAGTTTCAGAATAATTATGTCTTTATGGCTTTAATCAGACTGAAGATACAGTTCACTGTGTATCATCATGTCCTCATGTACCCTTTATATGGCTCCTAGAAGAAAAAGAACCGTCACCTACAGTATTATCCGGTCATTTGTCAACTGCGCTTCTGAGGAACGGGCATTACGTCTGCTCACTGATAATCAGTTATTTATCACATATGCTGTAACTCAATTTGCGCTGGCAGCCAAGAAGCTGAGTTTTTAAATGGGAAAACATTCTTTCCCCTTTTTTATATATTGTAAAGGCCTTCGGTCAGAAACAATAAAAGATTTTATAGCATTTTTAACAGAGGGAGATTCCCCAAAGAGAAAGAGACGGAGAGAAGAAGACAGTTGGTTTCTTGCTCAGTTTCCCCTCAGGTAACACATGTCAGGATCAGACATTAGTCCTACCAAAGGGGAGGGATGGTTAGAAAAAAAAATTCATTCCATAATTGCCATTCTAAATTATCAATTTGGGTAAAAAGGCACATACAGAGATTCCAGGTTTTCAAACAGTGTCAGAACTAAAGGACAGAACTACAGCATCAATAAATATTAATTGCAATTAAAAGGTTGCCAAAACAGGGAGTGGGGGAATCACAGTGTCCACCAACAGCTTCTGTGAAGGCAATAACTTGGAAATCTGTAACCAGTCATATTATTACCATATTGCAGTTAGAACTCCCATATGATTAGTTTATTGAGTGGAACCTATCTAGGGAGTAAGGTAAGTTTCTGAATTCAATGGGATTTATTGTCAAGTAAATAATTTCTGCTGTAAAGCAGAGATCTTTCTCAGAAGGCTACTTTCCTTAAGGACAATAAAAAAAGAAGAACTTACCTGTTGTTCCTTGCTGCCATTTCATCCCTCATCTTTTTAATGTCACTCTTGCACTTTTCAATCTCTGCTACTTTCAACCCTTCCACTATCAACAAAGTGAAACAACAGGGGAGTTACCATGGAAAAACCACAAAGATTTTGTTTCAGTAATTGTGCAGAATTTCAAAAGATGTGGAACCAAGGAGTTTGCTGGTGGCAACTGCAGAATATTTAAATATATCTGAAACTTGTTCCTTTCCAGACAGGTGCTGCCAACATAATAAATCACTAAAAGAAGCAAGAATTTAGGAGATCACAAAAACAATTGCAATGCCTCCCTGTGGGCAGCACTCCACAATAGCTAGCCACTCTGCTGTTTTTGAGGCCATCCCCGGGGACATAAATTGATGACTGCAACAGACATATCCATTCCAATGACAGGTTACTACAAAGCACTCTATGTTGTCCACTGACAAAGTTTACTCAGCTGGGCTTAAAATATCCTATTAAAATGAAAAGATGGCATGAAAGCACCTTCATAGGGATCAGGAAGCTTAAGAACCATCCTGTAGACGCAAAGAAAACACAAGCTAGGGGGTAGGAAGCAATTCTAGCTCTTGTTAATACCTTTAAAATGTGATATAGTTCTTTGTATGTCAAGTACTCAAAACACATGTCTACTTGAAACAAGCATTCATGTGCTCTCTGTTTTTTAGATTGTGCAAAAACCAAAACCACACCCAAAACCCAACCCAACCAAATCACGAAGCCTTGGGAACATCATGCAATTCAATGATGTGAGTGCCTTTCCCTCACATTTCTGGAGGACTTAATACAGAACTACTTTTTACTTATATACTACTCTCAGTAACATAATTTCACAGCTTACTCTTTTTTTGCTGTGCTTATTATTTGCACGCACAGGCTGATGCTAAGGAAACTCAAGGGAACTCGTGATTGTTTAATTAGTATTCATCTGTTTTTAATGTACTCGCCAATATTGTCCTTCTCCCATATGATGTAGTATGCAAATGAAGGAGAACTGCTCTTGAGGCTGTATTAGTCATTGATATGAGGACGGAAAGAAGAGGTACAGCTGCAACTGCTGGGTTTCTGTGGCTAAGTAAATGAAGTCAAGAAAAAGCAGCAGTTTTGGAATGAAGATATGTGTTTCATGACTCACGTTTGATTGAAAGACAGAGTGATATCAAGGCCAGTTTGCTGTCAGCATTTAAGTACGGATTTTTCATAAAACTCTGTTTTCTGGAGTTACTACCTCCTTAAAGAACGGAGCTTGAAAAAGGATCTTTTAGGAATGTTGTTATGTGCTGTCAGGTCGGAACTGACTTATAATGGACTTAACTGGGCTTTCAAGGTAAGTGAGATATTTAAGGAGTGGTTTTCCCAGTTCCCCACCCCCAGGGAGTTTCCATGGCTGGGCAGGGATTTCAACTAGAGATGGGCACAAACGGCCAGTTTGTTTATCAGCTGAACAGGTGTTTGGCGCTTCCCAGGCCCACCTCCTCCGTTGGGCACCCACCCAAGGGCAGTGCCCCAGCTTCCCTGCCCTGCCCTGCCTACTCTGAGCACTGCCTCTAATTTCAGCCTTGGTCTCCAGAGTCCTAGTTCGTCAGTCTATCCACTACACCAGTGGTTCTTAACCTTTGTTACTCGGATGCTTTTGAACTGCAACTCCCAGAAACCCCAGTCAGGACAGCTAGTGGTGAAGGCTTCTGGGAGTTGCAGTCCAAAACTCCTGAGTAACCCAAGGTTAAGAACCAGTGCACTACACCACACTGAGTATCTCCTTTTAGGACGACAACTCCCAAAACCTCCTAGCCAACATGACCAGGAGAATTGTAGAGAACTTGGCAGTTTTTCCACTTTTGTGGCATTTTGCTTGGTTTTAATAAGTTATTGCTGAACTGTTGGTTTTGTATATTTTGAATATTTTTTAGATGCCACTGTCTACATATGGAGCAGCCTGCCTTTTCATTGGCTTCTCGGGCATACGTATCATAAAGCCAAGATGTTGCATCTCTCCAGAGTACTCATGAAATTACAGTATGTGAAATGCTTTGAAATAGCAGCATGGCTTTGGCAACTGTTTTTTTTTAAAGCAGTTGTTTCATAAGTGCTTAAAAGAGGAATATTGGTTGCTAGTAACTTCACAAGTATATTGTTGAAAAAACAGACCCAAGAAGTAGAGAGTGCAGACATTTTGTACCATTTGGGATCACTATACATTGGTGAAACTTAATAGTCTGTGGCAAGTTAGGAAGATAAGTTTGATAAGCTCCAAACTCCACCCTCTTTCTTGAATCCCACATTATTTTAGATCAAAATGGATGTTTCTCATAAAATGTTTTATTTTTCTTTTAAAAGAAAGTGAGGCAACATCCTAGTTGAGACGCCTCAATTACTTTCCTGGAAACCTTTAAAAAAAATTAATTCTAATGTGGTAGTAGCTCACCCTTCTGTCTGCACGCACACACACACACACGCACACGCACAGAGAGAGAGTGAGAGTGTGTGTGTGTTTCCAAGTACAGGTACAGTTTTTAAAGGAATTATACTGTAGATTATAAAGGTGAAACAAACTCATTAATCATAATTAATTTTAATTTTTAACTCTGAATTTAATAAGTTATTTCCACTTGTTTAGATTCTTTCAGTCCTTGCTATACACAACAATTTTAATAATTTTTGTATTGTGGTGACATACTGTACATTTGGTTTGTAGCCAAAGTGAGATGTGAACGTACATGATTTTGTCATCTTTCTTTATATAACTTGTCCTTCCAGAAAACAGCATATATCTGAACCATATATATTCTTTCTTTTCAGATGAAATTCAACATCTATATTACTTAAATTTTTATGTTACACAGTATTTTTGAAAGGCTAAGGCTGAAATCCTATGGTCCTTAGGAGCCAAAGTTTGAACTCTGCATAAAGAAGCCGTTCAATACCATTTTAACTGCTGTGACTCCAATCCTATGGAAACCTAGGATCTGTAGCTTGGTGGGGTCTTTAGAATTTTCTATAGACATATGTCCTATGATCCACTTACTCTATATTCTGCAGGATGGAGCAATGATAAATTAAAATGCTATTGTACTGTTATAACTGTGTCACATTCATGAACTCTGATAATATTGCCAGTCTGTCCCTCCATGTAGGGAACAATAGCCACTGGAAACCTCTCTGCTACAGTGGGAAAAACTCTGCCATCATCTGTCCTGCATCACTCGAGCATTAAAGGTGATAGGAGAGAAAGTGTGACTCTTTGTGCCCAAACTACACAATACAGTTGGCATGTCATTGTGCTTCTAGAGTTTAACTAATCCCTGGCTGAACAGACACTGTGAGGAGAAATACAATAAGGCCACAACTTTAATGGTTACAGCAGCAGTATCCTTGGCCAGCACTAAGGCTGGATTCAGAGCATTGGGAGATCTGCTCAATGCTCTGAAACTATTGAAGAGAGGACAGCACACTTGTTGGGATGTGTGTATGTGAAGAGGAACCAATCAGAATGGTTAAACCTAGAAGTGAGCTGTCCCCTCAATTGTCTAGGGTGGAAGGAGTCAACACCATCTTAACTGCACTATCTTCTACGGTTCAGAACCTGGACCTAGGGCAAGGTCAGATAGCAGAGGGAGATGGGAAGAAAAAGGCAGGAAAAGAACAGTCAATAGTTGAGGGCTTCTTAATGACAGACGAGGAGGGGAGAGTAAGGGACATGGAAGATGGAGGAGAAAGAAAGAAGAGCTGAGGCTCGGAGGAGTGGAGGAATCCAGAGCTAGAGGGGAAGACGGATTGCTGTCAAAGGGAGAGGAAGAACCCTATGTGTTCTCCTTTCCTCATAAAGGAGAGACTAAAAGTTAAGAGAGGAAAGAGATTAAACATTTGGTTAATATTAACACATCTCCTGTGATGACTCTAATTAAAAAGAAGGAACTGCTTAATCTAGAACAAGAATGCAATCACAGTGGGTATGCCACTACATAGCTCATTACCCAAAAGTCAGTCTGGGCCACTGCCTCCCAAATTAAGTGTGATAATTAGAGATGGGATATTTATATTTGTCTCCCGTGGGGGACAAATACAAATATCACCACCACAGATAGCCAGGCTGATTGGACTCTCCCCCTAGAACTTGGCTGTCCACTTATTGCTTATGGCATGGCACATGCAGCCGTCATTGTTTGCAATGCACAAATTGCAGAATTATACACCAATCCCTGCCTCCCAGTGCTGCTGACCAATCCAGTGAGAAGGCGGGATGATGAGTCTCCCCGCTCAACTGCTGAGTGGTCAGCAGCTCAGGAAGGTGGGGAAGCCCTGGCTGAGATACTTCTGTGATTGGCGTGGCACAAACAATAATGGCCACATGCGCTGCAACTGCCAGGTTCTCGGGGGGAGGGTCCAATCAGACCAGCAACCTGTGGTGGCAATATACGTATTTGTCTCCATTGGGAGATTAATACAAATATCCCATGTCTAGTGGTCATGTCCCAGACTCCCTTAGAAGGGTTAATCAATCCTGGGAGAGTTGGGTATACACCTGGACCCTAGGTCCATCCCAGGGCCCACAACTGCCTCCTCTGTAAAGTTGTTACTAGAAATAATGAACAGAAATTCAAACAGAACAACCTACGACAATACCAATATGCACCTTCCCCACGCAGGTACCCAGGGGTTGGTGGGCAGGCAGGGAAGGCTGCCCAAAGAGAAATGCCACTGTCTTGCCTGTTTACATGCTAACCTGACAGACCAGAGGGAAGCTTCAGGAACTGCCTCTACCAGCCTGGCTGCCAGTGAAGAATCTAGGAAAGATCCCCAGCTGAAGGCTGCATAGGCAAATAGCTCCTGTTGAGCCTGTTACAGCCACCATCTTACCTGACCCTCTAACTTTCTACAACCTGGAAAGTCTCAGCACAGAGATGAGGGCCCAGGTAATTGTGAGCTCTGTATTTAGAAGTGGATCTTCCTAGACTGATTTAAAAAAATCTGATTATCTATGTTTTGCGGATTAGCTTGTTTTTTTATTTCTCTTTGGGAAAAAGACATAGACTTCATTTTCAAGCCAGACTGAGGGTACAACTATACTGGAAAGCTGAATCAGAGCAATTTGGCTTTGCTGTGATTTGATCTGAAGCCTGTATTACATTAGAAATTGCAGTCAGTGCTCACATAGGGGATGCAGACTGATTTGGAAGTTCACCATTCATAGTTGATGCAATGTGATTTGTATTCTAGTCCATACTTTGAATTCCCCCATTTCATAAGTGGAGTAAATCCCATGGTATTTGACTGTGTAGTCATAGTTTGATTTTGGAAGGACCTGGAGAGAAAACACTATAATGGCAAGAAACATATATTTCCTTTTAAATATAATTTGTCCTACAATGGTGTGCAATTGATGTCAAAGGTGGGTGATGCCTTTGATTCAAAAGATCCAAAGCCCTCCAGAACCCCAACATGCTCCTGACAACTATGAAAAAAGATTCCTCATCCTTCTAAGTGAAACACCTCCCCACTGCTTCAATTAGTATTAACGGATGGGAAATATAAATACTTAAAAAGAACAGTTGTGTATGTGCCCTGTAACTTCCAACCCTCCCTTCATCCTATGTAGTGTAAACTGGGAGGCCTTTCCTCACCACCCTAGGACTGCTCTGATGCCATTTGAACAAGACATTTTTTAACTCTGTCCTATTTATAACAGTAATTATTAACAACCATTTTACTGCCATTTTACTTTTGAACCTATAAGAAGAACAGGAACATCTGTGTAGAGTTGTATTCCACTGTGAGGAGACAGAACAGAAGTGTGGGTGGGTGTCCAGTGTTTATAACATGAGTTTCATCCAAGTTTGTTATGCCAGCTCACATACCATATGTATTTTATGTAGACCACACCCCTTTGCTTGAGGACATTTGTGTAAATAGGTCCCATACAGTTTTTGCAACTTTCCCTATGCCAACACAAAACAACAAAAAAGGTAGGTTGAATGGTTGTACTGAAAAGTGCAAAAAATCTAGGAACAGCTAGTTTATACACGGAGAAATATCTCAATGCAGCATTTAATGTTATCCATCTGTTTGTTATATACTGTCTGATGCGTCTGTTACCAACGGTGGTGCTTTTATTTTTTTTAAAAATCCTGCTATCTTGTATACTGCTGTATCAGATAGCAGGATTTTTAAAAAATACATGGGGCATTCACACATGCAGAACTGATTCCAATGACTCAATGTGTAGCCTGTATAATTAAAAAATGTAAACCGCCCGGCACACGGGGCATTTGCATATGCAGAACTGATTCCAATGACTCAATTCCACATCAGCACCAAAATAAATGGACTTCAGGGAGGAAAACAGAAAAACCCACTCGCCTGGCACAGTACTCCATGTGTGCATGTACCTTGTGTGTACGCTAACATTTAACTCATGTTTTAAAAACAAAATCCGGTACAACAGTGGATTTTATGGTCAGTGGGCTCAATCCCTTACTATGCTAAATTATGCCTCAGTTAGAGTAAGCCATGTGAATCAGTAGAACTTACAGAGGAATTGACTCACCAAAGTCAATCCCTTACTATGCTAAATTATGTCGCAGTTAGAGTAGGCCATGTGAATCAGTGGAACTTACAGAGGAGTTGACTCACCAAATCCCCATTGATTCAACCAGCCCATTGTAGTAGGCCTACTTTAGTGTGATTTATTATGCTAAAAGCAAAAAAGCAAAGTGTGCTGCTTGTATTATGCTAAAAGCAAAAAAGCAAAATGTGCTGCTTATATACCACCCCATAGTGCTTCAAGCACTCTCTGGGCGGTTTACAATTTAATTATGCAAGCTACACATTGCCCCCCCAGCAAGCTGGGTACTTATTTTACCGACCTCGGAAGGACAGAAGGCTGAGTCAACCTTGAGCAGGCTACCTGGGATTGAGCTCCAGGTCGTGAGCACAGTTTTAGCTGCAGTATAGCGGTTTAACCACTGCGCCACGAGGCTCTAAGCTATAGGTTTTTGTTATTTGGCAATATGTAATAAAATAATTAAATCAGAAACAGGAAAGCTATAGGTTTTTGGCCAATTTATTATTTGGCAATATATAATTATAGATATTTTATCTGTAATAAAATAATTAAATCAGAAACAGGAAAAATTACCTTTTGGACTAGGACTTCCATACTATTCCAGTCACCACATTCACTTTTCCAATCTTTGATTTATAGACATATAATGTTTAGAGATCTTGTTCTCTTCCTACAGATCTATATAAACATAAATATAGATCTATTACAGATTTTTACCAGAACTTGAAAGTTATATGTAATTATGTGACCTGTGTGGAGAACTTTCAGTACAGTAGTGCCTCGCATAACGAGCGCACCGTTTAACGACGAATCCGCATAGCAATCTATTTTTTGGGATTGCTAATGCGATCGCATTGCGATGTTTTAATAGCCTAAACATTGCATTGTGATGATTGGTAAGCGTTTCACTTACCGATCTTCGCATTGCGATGTTTGCAGAACAGCTGATCGGCGGTTCCAAAATGGCCACCGGGTGCCCAAAATGGCTGCCGCAACCATTTTCGCGTGATTTCCTCGCTTACCGAGGTGGTGAAAATGGCGGCGCTATGGAGGATCTTTGCATAACAGTGAGTTTTTGCCCCATAGGAACGCATTAAATGAAGTTTAATGCGTTTCTATGGGGTTTCCCCCCCTCATTGCAATGTTTCCAGATAGCGACAATTAATCTGGAACGGATTAACGTCGCTATGCGGGGCACCACTGTATATAGTGGTCTTCCCACAATTCCTTGAGGACATTACACTGGCTAAAAATAAGACCTAACCTGAAATTAATACATATGGCTGTATTTCAGGGTTGCAATGAGGGAAAGCTCCACACCTACACATTGCTTTTTCAAAGGATTGGGGGGTGGGGAATGGAAAAATAATATGTAGCAATAATGACCAACTGTGTGTATGTTTGTGTGTGTATATGAAAAGTCATACATGTACCCTGTTTCCCCAAAAATAAGACCTAACCTGAAAATAAGTTCTAGTATAATTTTCACGATGCCAGTAATATAAGCCCTACCCCCAAAATAAGCCCTAGTTAAGTACAACCCCGCCCTCCACCATTGTGTAGCATTGTGCAGCAACCAGAAGATGACATGACTGTAAAATAAAACATCCCCTGAAAATAAGCCCTAATGCATTTTTGGAGCAAAAATTAATATAAGATCCTGTTTTATTTTCAGGGAAACATGGTATATATATATATGGCTTTTCACATACACACACAAACATATATATACGTAACTGTTTAAAAAGATCTGAGAGAGTCATGTCTCTCTCAGATCTTTTTAAGCAGATGCAAAAAAAAAATCAAGTTTCATAAGTAACTCACATTCAACTCTCTTCTCCAGCATTGCCAACTGATTTCTTACTTCAGTTCTCAGTTCATCAATTTTAAATACCCTGCAAGGAGAAAAGTATTTAGACAAGAATACCTGTACATACTTTTAACTGTACAAATAACATAATTTTATGAGAAATCTGATTTCCATCGGTGAGGAAAAAATTGAGTGTACAAAATGAACTTCCTAAATGTCGTGCAGTATGGTAATGGAATCAATTAAGAGAAACGTAGACAACCACCTGGCAGATAACGGGATGAACATGCCCTGAAAAAAGCTGGACATGAAATCCTATTCAAAATACAGAAGTACTGGACAACACCAGCAATCATCATCTTAGTCTATACAGGGAAGCCATTGAAATCCACAAACGTCAGCACAGCTTCAATAAAAAAAGAAGGAAGTCTAAAACTCAACAAAGCCTGGCTCCCAGCACTGAAAAATACAGCCTGCAAAATGGTCAATGAATTCTATCCAACCACAAGGCCCAGTAATCACTGCACACAAAAGACTAGCTAATGACATCCATCAATCACAGTGAGAGATCATCTCCCCCCTTATCACAGCAATACACCCATAACAAAAAACACCCTGATCGCCATAATTACCCAATCTCCTAAAAAGGACAAAAAGCTGATCCCACAACTACAAATACTCAGTTATCCCACACACTACATCAGAACACAGACAGAGTTCTAACTCCTGTCCTCTGAAGATGCCGGCCACAGAGACTGGCAAAACGTTAGGAAGAAAAACCTCCAGAACATGGCCAAACAGCCCAAAAAAACTACAACAAGCATTACATCAGATAATTTGTTTTGAGGACTACTCTGCACAAATGTCTACAAAGAAACCGCCGCCACCCTGAATGCTGAAAAATACTGTATCAAGATTTTACCTTGAGAACTGCTCAACTACTTGTAACAGCAAATTCTGGAACAATTCCTCTTTTTCTGTTAAAAAAATGTAAAATAACATAATGGGAAATCAAGAGAGAACGATTATTGCATGGGGACCACAGAGCACAAGATTCAAATTACTAATAATAGCTGTCTGGAAAAATAACATCGCACTTGAAAGACAATAAAATTGACTATCTTCAATCAATATGTGAAAATACAATAGCTCCATTGAGAATTATTAATCTAGTCTCTCTTTAATTGTTAACTATGGTTTAACTGTAATTAAAACCATGCTGCAGAAATCAACATACACATGCAAATACACAGAGATTAATGTTCTAAAAAATAAAAAAAGCTGATATTCTTTTTTTAAAGATGTTGTCTAAAGTAAAACTCTGCAGGTGTCACCTTATTAGCCTCAAAATTATAACATGTTTGGAATACATTGCTTTCATTATTGAACGTAAAATATGTTCTTTCAAAGAAAAAACAACTACACATTTTTTTCATCCCAAACATAATCAATTCGTTTGAAGCAGGGCCTCCTGATCAGACCTGTGTTGAAACAAGTGAACACAATTTGGACCCTTATTAATTAATGTGTGCCATTTTGGGAGTACAAATCTGATCCATACATGCCTGTGCTAATATCTCAGCATTTCCCCACCCCACCCCATTATACACCCTTGAATAAGGAAATGCAAATAATTGGGGGGTGGGGTGGGGGTTGGTCTGTCTCCTTCCTCTTTGAATTTCCCATACAACAACTTCAGGATATCTGCAAATTAAACACTTCCTTTGCTGTAAGAAAAATATATGTAACCATCAATCATATATTCATCAATAACTAATCAATATAGTGTGCTTGATATTAAATGCAATTATGTTAATCTGCTTGGTTGTTACTAGAGATGGGCACAAACCACCAGTTCATCCTTCCCAACCTTGCCTCCTCTGGCAGTCGCCCACGCAGAAGCAGTGCCAGGCCTTCCCTGCCCTGCCTCCTCTAGGTGTTATCTCTGAGTGGGTGCCCACTAAAGAAGGCAGGGCTGAACACCTGTTCATCCAAAGGAGAAATCTGCACAAACCGCTGAACTGACGATATGTGCCCATCTCTAGTTGTGACCTTTAAGCTTGCGAAAGTGTGGTTTTGTCAGTCACACTTCAGCAAGGACGATCTTCTCAGGAAAAGAAAGAGGAACCTGTTACAGATGTCCAAGGACAGTGTCGGAGTAGAGACACCGCAAACTGTAACCACTTAAGGAGACGTTCAGTAATATAATTTGAAAAATTAAACTATACAGTCTGTCTGTTCTTGTATGCCTTTTATCTTTACAATGAAGAACTTTCTGAATCTCAGCGTTTTTTGTGCCTTTCTGAGTTGCAACCTAAAACAAAAAGAAACCTGTTGGAGAACTGCTTTATTAATCTATACATAATTTCCTCATTTTTTTTGTACCATGCCCCCGATTCAAAATGAGGCTGCTTTGAAGCAAGTCTTATCCAGGCTGGCTCCATCTTCCCTGTCCTTCCACAGGCAAGCACAGACCTTTCTCTTCAGAGAGTCTTTTCCTCAGCGACTGAGAGGGCTCTTGTGCTCTGTTGCTTTTAAATGTGTTTTTAGCATTGATTTTATTTACCATTTTAATATGATGCTTGTTTAATTCTTTTTAAATATTTGCACACTTACTGTTTTTAGCTTTTGTTATTGTCCTTTTAATGATGTAAGCTGCCTTGAGCCCTTTCATGGAGAAAGGCGAGGTAAGAACTTTTTAAAATAAATAAACCAGCTCTTGCTTTACCTGACTGCACAAAACCTTTCACTTTGTTTTGCCATGCAAAATATTGTTTTGATTCAGTCCCAATTACCAGCAGCTTATTACTCCATAGCCTTTGATCCTGTTGCAGCCAGATTCCCACCTTGCCTTAAGGCAGTAGTTGGGGCTGCCAATCTGGTGGAACCTTGGGCCACTTCTTTGATTGTAGCAGTGCCCCATGCAGTTGCTGCGCTGGTGCTCAGCTGACCAAGCATGACACAATCTTTCTTTCCTCCCACAAAGTCACTCTGAAGCTCTGTCCAGTTTTGAATCCTGTTCCACTCTTTAACAGAGATCCACATGATGGTGAACTCTTTTGCTCTGTGTTGTTGAAGCTATGGGTGGATCTCACAGATATACTCGTTCCAAATCCTGATTTGATCTTTTATGAGGATGGTTCTTGCCTTCAAAATTCTGTAGGAAAATTTCGTTCCAGGTGTGCTGTCTGCTTGCGTTTTAAAGTTATTGAAAGTGGTGCCCTTCCAGGCATTTGCTCTGTACCAATTGCTGAGCTTGTGGCACTTATTAGTGCCTGTCACTTAGCTACAGAGCGCACTGTAAAAATGTATACTGTTGAAAAACATGCTTTTAGTGTTGCCCATGACTGTATTCCTTATTGCTCAAGGAACTCATATCAAAAATGGTCCTTTTGCTGTAGCCCTTTTAGAAGAATTCCGGCTCCCCAAAAGTCTTGCATGTAATGTATTAAATATTATGCTCACCAGTCAACAAATGATGATGTTGCTAAAGGAAATGCCTTAGCAGATGCTTTTGCCAATCTGTGGCCCTTTCCTCATCTCCGGGCTATACTGAACATTTGTTTTATTTGAGGAATCAAACGCCATTGGCATCTGTGGATGACCTGATTCAGATCCAGTCTTCAGCTCCTATGAGCAAGAAGAAACCTGGCGTAAGGCTGGATTTTACAGAGACTCTGTTTGGAGGAGCAAACAGCATTGTATCTCTTTGCTCCTTTTTGCTGTATCTTGTTTACATCCTACATGGTGTTTCCCATGTTGGACAGACAGGAATCATATCAGTGGTTCATAAGGAATGGTTTGATCCATGACTTCATTCTTTGGTCCAGCATTTGTGTTCAATTTGTGCTACATGTCAGAGGTTTAACATAAATTGTTGCCAACCCAACAGATATCTTGTCATCCTTTGTGAGAATCTTTTGTTCACATAAAAATGGACTTCATTCAAAAGCCAAAGTCTTGATCTTCTGAATATGTTTTAGTGTTATTTTGCACATATTCTGAATGGACAGAGCCTATACATGTATCAAAGTAGATTCAGTGCCTGTTGCCTAGAAAATCCTTAAGAAATTTGTTCCGTACTTTAGAATACAGGTCTCTTTGTGATCAGATAAAAACTCACATTTCATAGGTCAAGTGATCAAAGAAGTTTGTAAAACCTTATAAATCTGGCAGAAATGACACTGTGCCTATCATCCTGAGTCATCTGGAAAAGTATAATGATGATAAAGTTTATTATGGTCATATGATGCATACAAATGCACAAAGCCAATCAATACTTTCATTTGGAAACCTAAGTGGTCAGCTCTCTTCTTGGTTAACCAATATAGGAGAAACTATTTTGCACCATTCTAATTTTATTGGGTATTTTCTTATTTTTCAAAGTTAGCCAGTGTGTTATTTGAATGGTTTTAAGAAAATCAGAAGAATCGCCCGATTCATTAAAAGAAAAGCCTAAGATTGTGCTAGATGTACAATTTGCAGAGAATAATGATAGTCACTCTGAAATGCCTTCTTTTATGTAACATACTATTACACAAAAGAACATTACAATGCAACATGTAGAAATGGAAGATCTGAAGAGGAAGGATAGGAGTGATCAAACCTTAGATGTGTATTACTTAATAAATACATATACAGAAAAAGGAGTAAGAGGTGCATGAAATAACCTTTGATATAGCAAGGGAAAGACTGAAAAAGAAACAGTTTTGCAAATCATAGCCTTTGTATAAACCCCAACCAATACACAACAAAACCAAGAAAAGAAAGATTCAGTCACAGGACACTGTAACTGAAGAGACAGAAGAATAAGAATTACTTTAAGTAATCTACACTCTTTTTCATAATATATATTCAGTTTGCTACATTATTTTGTTTAATAACATTCCACTATAAGATGCATAAGTTCAAGTAACTGAACTTTTGACTTTCTTGAAGTTAAGAAGAGTTTTTTGAAATGAAGTAGTATGCCTTTCTTAACCATGCATGGAGAATCGTTTAATATATTAGCACAAGTTAACTTAGGACAGGTTAGCTTAGGTATTAAATTGTGAGCTGGGATCTGTGGGTAGTAAAGTGAAGACAGAACTCACAGGTTTCCAAACAGAATTTGTGGTTTATAATTGCAATCGGAGATGGGCACAAAATGAATGATGGACCAAAATATGCAACAAACTTGGCTGTTTCGTGGTTTGTTTCACAACTCAGTTAGGGAAATCCGCCTAGAGTGGTTGAAATGACTAGATAGGCGGGGTATAAATACAATAAAATAAATAAATCCTATTCTGCTGAATGCCCTTTGGCATTTGCTTCAGCAAAAGGGGATGCCGACCCACCCCTTCCCACTGCCCCCATCGCCTCCGCCTACGTGTTCCTGCTGCCTCCACTGCCACCTCCTCTGTTGCCGTTGTTGCCACTGTGCGTGCCACTCTCAGAGGCAGTGGATCTGGGTTCCCTGCTGGGAGCCTGCCACTGTCTCTGAGCATGCATCCACAGCGGAAGGAGCAGGGAGCAGATAGCCCCCCCTCCAGGCATGGACCAGAAAAACAAACTGTGAACCAGTTCATTTTTCTGGGGTGTGTGTGTGTGTGTGTGTGTGTGTGTGTGGTGATTCACCACAAACTACCGGTTTTCCTTTTTGTGCCCATCTCTAATTTCAAAATACAGTACTGTACAGTATTACAAAGATGAGGGGCTTTGAGAACAAATATGTAATCAATCGTATATTCATCGATGACCAACAAATTTATTGTGCTTGATATTAAATACAATTATGCTTGGTTGTGACCTTTGAAGTTTCGTCAGTTACACTTGAGAAAGGATGATCCGCAACCTTGTCAGGAACAGAAAGAGGAACCTGTTATAGGTGCAAGGACAGTATCAGAGTAGAGACACCACTGAGTGTAACCACTTAAGGAGAAGTTCAGTAACAGATTAAGAAGAATTAAACTATACAATCTGACTGTTCTTGTATGCC